TCTAAAAAGGTAGAAAAATTACTAGTAAGCTTGACTGCAAATACCCAAGAGAAATCAAATTTATATGCCTACTTGGGACGGTGTGGTTTCTCATAATCTCTCGGCTGATCTGGTCTGCTCTTTCGCTTTTCTGCGTCTCTTTTTTTTCTATAATTTGTAGGAGCACTAACAATGCTTTAAAACAGAGAAAAATTGACCTTCCTCTTTTTTTTGGTAAAAACCTTCTCATCGAATGTTATAATCAGCCATTAAGCTTACCTTTTCGTTCTTGAACTAGAGTATCTGGAAGGGGATTCCGAGTCTAAACCATCCGTGTCTTCTATGTCAGACGAACCAGGAGACTGAAAAGATATAAATATACAGGTATAAACTGGCAGTAATACATGCAAAAGCGATCAGAATTGAAAAGAGTGATTGGTAATCTCACCGTAGTCCTTTTCTGTTGTTTACGAGGATTTCTTCGTGATTGATCATGGTTGATAGGACGTTGTCTCTCTCCAGTAAGGTTTCGATCGGGCTCTTTAAAAACGTTATTATTTTTATCTTGGGACGAACTCCGCTTGTAGACGCTAGGAACGTTGTTATGGGTTGGACGAATACTCTGATTGTGAGCTCCAAGAAGGTCCCAAAAGCGTCCGGGGGAGTCCCAATTGTCTCCAGGAACGTTCTGATCGTGGACTCCAGGCAAGCTTTGATTGTGGATCCCAGGGTCGTTATGAATACGGACTTCAGAGACGTTTTGATTGTAGATATCAGAAACATTCTGATTTTGGACTCTGGGAACGTTCTGATAATTGACTTCAGGAACGTTTTGATAGTTGACTTCAGGAGCGTTCCGATTGCGGGCTCCAGAAAGGTTCCCCGTGCGGACTCCGGAAATGTTCCGATTTCGGACACCGAGATGGTCCTGACGATGGACTCCAGAAAGGTGCCGATTGCGGCTAGGAGGATTATAAGTGTGGACTCCAGGTAGGTAATGACAGCGCTCTCGAGGAGCCTGTCGAGAATGTTTAGAAGGCGACTTCATTTTTTGGAGAACTGACATTGACTGCTGTTTTATAAAGGCACCTTTGAATTGGTCGATGCTCAAAAGATAAGATAGTAGAAGTTTGGCCTGACACGAAAAGCTACAAACATTGCTGAGTTGGCAGCGCCTGTGACTTACGATGCAAAAGTCGCTTCGTTACCGTTGTTTCAGAGACAACATTAGTCATACGGGAAATTTCCTTATCGTAGCAATTTTGACAGTTCGGAACCCTACCCCTACAAGCCTTAACAATAGATTCCTCTAGGATGGACATTTGCAGGGTACTCGGTGAATTTATTAGGTTGAGGAACAAGTTCGTAGCGTTTTTATATTTTCTTATATTTTCAACAATGTTTTGCTGTAACAGAAAGTATAGTAATTTTTTGTTAGAGCATTCCCTGCTCTACAAAACAGTGGCAGTCTTCCTTTGGAGTAGTTTCATCTTTCATTACTTTGGAGGCTTAGAAATGGAGTATCCAGACGGCAAA